CGGTTGCTGGCGTGTGGGGGCTTTTGAGGGCGGGGCAGTGCTGTGTCAGGCCAGATCAGGGATGCAATGCAGGGCTGGGGCAGATGCTATTTGGGGCTGGAGGGGGATGCTGTGCAGGGCCTGGCAGGGCTGCCCATGCTCGGCCTGCCCCCGCTGCTCGCTTGTGTGTGTGGGCCCAGTGCTGTATCTGTCCTGTGCCCAGCAGAGGAGCCATGGGCGTGGGCTGGGGTCTCAACTGTGGGATGCTCTGAGGTGCCTTCCCTGGATGCTGGATCTGCGGGGGTGTGAGAGCCCAGCTAAAGGGTTGTGCAGTAGATTTTCCTCTGGTAGACTAACCCTGAGCCCGGGGTCTGGCCACTGCACCGGGGTTTCTGGACCTTCATGCTCTATGGACAGCCGCACCCCCAGGAAGCCATGCGCTGGCTATCCTGCACAATGCTGACACTGCGTGCTGTTAGCAAATGGCCTGAACATCGAGCTTCATTCATTGCCTTCCCCTGTGATGGTGCATGTGGAAAGGCACAGGATTTGCAAATACCTGTTATTAATGATAATTTCTTGGGCTGCTGGTTTACTGGACAGAGGTGTTGATGCTGAATTAACCTCCCTGTTGCTAAGGCTTCTGGTTTTCAGAAAAACTACTTGGTTGGGAAACAGAGAAGTCTTCTTAACACCACTGGGATGCACTTGGATGTGAGTTCAACCCTCCTCCCGCTGCCCGTGAGCTGCAGGTGAAGTGTGATAACCACATTTCTCTCCCCGCTCCCTGGGTCCCATTGCATGGACCCGCGGGGCGCTGGTGGGGAGGGCGTCCCGCCTGCAGGACGGGTGGGTGATGGCACCCGGGCTCCCGGGATGACGATGGTTTGCAATAAGGCGAGAGCCTGTGGGACACTGAGGCAAAGACATGCCTTCCTCAGTACGAGGAAAGGCATCACCACCTTCCCTGCCTGGGTGACCCTTTCTAGATCCTGGCTGATCCTGTCGCAGGAGTGGGGAATGGGTCTAGCGTAGGAAAGAGGAGGCTGAGTATTGCTTCACCTTTCATGCACGTGAACAAAAAGGTGCAACTGTACCTGTTGGGGATTTGGTGAGGGGACAGGAGCCCTGGGGATCAGCTCTGCTGGTGTTTGGCAAACTCCACAGTTTGGGCTGTTGGCAATGAGCTGTCAGACTGGTGGGGAATGGGCAGATTGTTCAGAAGATGGGGAAGGGGAAGAGATGGGTGCCAGTCCTTCCAGAAACAGGAGAAACCAGGAAAAAATAAGGGACTAGCCAACTTATCTCTAAGTTCATAGAAAATAACATGGAGGGATCTGTGATCAGTGCAATAGCTGAGAAAAATACCCACCCAGTCTGAATTCCTGTTGTGATAGATGTTGGGCTTCATACGCTGGTTTCGTTTATAGCTTTTAATTGCGCCTCATACAGTCAGAAAGCTAGTGGAGCACGGGCTGTGGAGAGCACCATGAGGTGGCTGCAGTGAAGCTGTTTGGACTGTTGCACACAGGGGACAATTATCGGTGACTCCTGCACTTCCACGGGGCCGGGGCACAGCCACCCGCCGGTGGTTTCATTGCTGGCCCCAGGGATGGAGACGGGTGCGGGCTTGCAACGCCACAGGCAGCCCGGGCTGGGGGTCAGCGCGTTCAAGCTAATATCAATGAGCTGTGGAAGGGCTGGGACGTACGGGAGGGTGCAGAGGGCAGGGTGTCAGCTGCACAAACACAGCAGCTCCGCCACGGTGTTGGAGGGGGGTGGATTGCAGGTGGACACGAATCGGCAGGATTGCTGTGTCGTGAGAGAGGCAGACGCTGTCCTCGGATGGGTGGACAGGGTTCTTATCCCATAGAGGGGTGAGATGAGGCTCCTCTCCCCTGCGGTGGAGGCTGCGGCACAGTGAGGGGCAGCGCGCAGCTGGAGCAGCCTGACCCGCTGCAGCGGGGCCGGAGGAGAGTGATGGAAGTGGCCAAAGAGCTGGAAATCCTGTGGGCAGGATTTGGGGTTGCTGGGCTGGGGAAGGGCAGACACTGGGCTTGAGAGGTGCTTGGGAAGAGGAAGGAGGTGACCTGCTCTCCTGGTGGGTGGAACAAGGAGGAAGGTGTTTAAACTACAAGACAAATCAAGAGTGAACATCAGGAAAGAAAAGATAATGCGAGAGTGGGGCAGTAAGAGGAAACTCACCCAATGCAGGTTTAGAGCACAGGAAGGGATGTTTTTACACAACAGGGTAACATTGGCCCCGTCTGTGGGGAGAGGTGCCTGTAGGTGCAGGGCTGGCAGAGCCCATGGCCAGGACACAGAGGCTTGGGCAGGGCAGGCTGGGACGTGTGGCCCGGGGTTGGCTGTGCTGCAGAGCCTGGCGGTGGGCAAGGAGCTGCTGCGGGCAGAGGCTCCCAGCTTTACCTTCGGCATGAGGACAGTGAACAAACAGCTCCTTTGCAAAGGCATTGACCCCGTGGAGCGCCCGCTGCTCGAGCTCCCGTGGGCAGCAAGGCTGGGTGTGCTCCCCGTGCTCTCTCCCGCCAGAGTACCCTGCCTCCCACTCGGACGTTTTGCTAAAGTTTGGAGGAGGATGAGCCCCCTTCATAGATCCCCGGGCTCTGTGGAGGAGCTGTCACTGCGGGACCACGTTGCAGGTGAGCGGGAGAAGCTGGGGCTCAGGTCTGGCCCCGGACAAACCCTTTCCAGGTGCAGAGCCTGTGCTGGCAGGCTGCTGTGCCATGCTTGGGTGCCGCTCACCCAAATGCAGCTCCACGCATCTCAGCACTGGGAGGAAAAGCTGTCCCGGCCCGTGGAGTCGCCTGGTGCCTGTGGGCAGGATGATGCTCCCAGTGATGCCCCAGCCCTCACAAGCTGCAGATGGGCAGGGGGATGCTCATTTTACCCTTTTACCTGCTGCTGGGCAGAATCAGCTCTGGGCTGGAAGTGGGGCAGGGCTGTAGCTCTACCAGCCTGAGGATGGTGCAGTGCCTTGCTGGGTGCTGGGGAGCTCTGTGGGACCCGTGAGACCTGTCCCTGCTCTGGTCACCCTTTATGGGGACCCATCACCTGATGGCTGGCAGTACAGAAAGCCGAAGGCAAGTCTTGGTGCTGCCCATGGGAAGGGGTCTATCAGCCCAGCCCTCCCTCAGGTCTCTGCTGCTGTTCCTGGGCTCGCTCAGACCTTGCGTGGGGACCTTTGGGGGGACAGAGGGGAGGAGAGCGGCTCACGCCTCCTTTATCTGCAGAGGGTCCCCAGAGCATGCCTGGCCTAGCCTTGATGGCAGAAGAGGAGGACAAGGTGGACACGGCCACGGCAGGGAGGGAAGCTCACCCGGCGCCTGTGCGGGCAGGGGATGGTGTCGCTGCACGATGCTTTGGAGGTGCTGCATGAATAACAACCGCTTGTCCTCAGCCTGCGGCACAGCTGCTCTCAGCACACAGCGGCTTTTTTGTGCCTGATGCAGCTTGTGGTACACGGGGGTGATAAATGTGTTGTGGCAGTTTGTGAGTGGAGAGGTCAGGAAATAAAACTGAACCTTTGCTGGTGGCAGTCCTGCCCTCCAGCCCGAGACCCCCTGGCTTTGTCGTGTGAGATCCACCTCGTGCAGGTAAAGCTCCTTCAGAGGGACGATGATCTGGGAAACAAAAATAACAGCTCTTGAGCACCAGTGCTGCTGTTTCTCCGCATCTTTGTTCTCTTGACCTCGGGGATGTGCTGTGTTTGCCATTGAGCTATTACAAGCTGTGAGCATCGTGTTCTGCCTCTCCGTGCTCACCACGCTCTTCTCCCTAGGAGAAAACACTTAAAGGTTAAATATATACAGGCCATCACTTGGTGAGGTTCTGTAGTTGAAAAGGCAAACACAAAACAAACATTGTGCATTTGGGCAAGAACCAAGGGAGGATTTCAGTTTTGCCCACTGGGACGGCAGAGCCTGGCCTTGGCCTTGGAGCAGGAGGCAGGAGTGTTCCTCCTGAGCCCATTTTCTGGTGTGAACCGTTCCCCCTCCCTCTGAAAGAGAAGCAGAAGAAAAACAAAACAAACCCAACTTGGTTGATACAGAGTTCAGCTCTGTGTGCCTCTGATCTGTTTATGGGCATTTTTAGTGTTCTGGTTTTGAAGACGAAATGAAAGTTAGAAGGACAAAGCACAGTGCTGAAGTGAGGAGCTGATCTGCAAAGACGACTTTCGGGAGAGCCGCTGCAGCTGATTTCTGCTGAAATCTGCTCAGGCGCCATTTCTGTGGAAACCAAACAACTTCGCCACTCCTGAGCTCTGCTTGGCCTGAGTACCCCATCTCCGCCTGGTTTTTACAGTTCCTCTTTTCAGTATCCCTGTTAGAGTTGGGGGTGCGGGTGGGGGCCGCGAGGCATGGGGCTGCCTGGGGGAGATTTCCAAACTCACGGTGTCAGCAGGACATCAGGTTCCCATGGAAAGCTGATGTGAACCAGACCACAGCTGGGGCATCTCTGATGCTCCGTTAGCTGGTGCTGCTCTCGTGGTGGCAGGGAGCTCAGCTCCGGTTGTGCCTCCTGATCCATGTGGCCATGATGCAGCGTCAGAGCTTGGCAGCTGCTGCTGCTGTGCAAAATAACCGAGAAGATGGGCTTCGAACAGCAGCTTGGCACGTGCCCTGCAGGGCTGTGAGCTTCCTGGAGGGGAAGGAGAGCTGGGCTGGGTGCCTGCTGCTGCTGTTGGCAGGGTGAGCCTGGGCAGGAGCTCCTCCATCTCCCCAGGAGTGGGCAGACCTGTGGGGGGGTGTGGGGGCAGTGTCTGTGCCAGGGGGAGGAGGGTCTGATCCTCCGCAGCCCCCAGCAGTGTCTGGCCTTTCCTCTCCCGGGTGATGAGGGCCATCAGAGAAGAAGGGGCTGGACAAGGCAGTGCAGAGGAGCTGCTGCCCGCTGTGCAGGCAGGGACGCCCTGTACAGAGCCTGGCATGGCCCCGGGTGAGAGCTGCTGGAGGCAGCCAGGGAGGGGGCAGGATGTGTCCCCTGAGGGCCCTGGGAAGGGGTTGGGTGTTGGGCTGGGTGCTGGTGCTGGCTTGCACCAACCGTGGGCAGAGGTTTGGGGATGCGACATTCCTGTGGGAGCAGGCAGAGTGCTCCTTCATCTGCATGGGCTGCGGGAAGAGCTTTGGGCATTGCCGCACCCCTGGTGCACCAGCACCATCGCTCCACCACCCTCCTCTTCTGCACTCTCTGTGGCAGAAGCTGCTC